CCTTTTTCCAATTCTAACTAACAGAACTAAAATTTTTTATCAGTATTTTGAGAAAAGAAGTAAATTATACTTGAGTTTACAAATGATGAACAGTGTTAGTATTTTTAATTGGCATAAAAGAGAGTAAACAATTATTCTAGAATGCTATGAAGGGTAGCAGCTAATGAGGTGGTAAAACAATAATTATCAGCCACTGCAGGATGACGAAAGGACACCAGTATATGAAATGGGAGTGAAGGAAGGCAGCAAGAGGCTGAAGGTGAGAAGAGACAGAAAGAGGTGAGAAGACAATGCTCTTGGAAGTAGTCCATCTGCCCGCTGAGGTTTCAGTCTCCTGCTATAAAGGACACCAAAAAGGGAGCCCGGAAGTGGCACGAGGGAACCAAGCAGCTGATCAGGTGGCTAAGAGAGCAGCCTTACAGAACCATGACCTAATCGGGGTTGTCACCTTAGTTCCACAGACTAATTTGCCAGAAACTCCTTCATATACTGAAGGTGAGGCTCTTAAAGCTGAGAGTGAGGGCTTTCAAGGAGATAATATGGGTGGTTACAAAAGGAGAGACTCCTTTTTCTGCCTGGGAACCTCCAGTGGAAGTTGTTTAACTCCTTACCTGCCACCACTCATTTAGGAAAAAAGGCCCTCCATAGATTACTAGAAAGATCCTTCAAAGGAACAGGCCTCCAGACAACAATAAGGCACGTGGTGTCCTCTTGTCCCACTTGCCAGTTAAACAACCCCCAAGGAGCTCAAAGACCCCAGCTGGCCCAGCCCATCCAACAGCATGGAACCTACCCAGGAGAGGACTGGCAGATGGACTTCACCCAGATGCTAGTTTCTCAAGGGTATAGATACCTACTAGTCATGACAGGTACATTCACAGGATGGATTGGAGACTTTCCCACCTGGACTGAGACGACTGAGGAGGTAGTAAAAAAACTGCTCCATGAAATCATTCCAAGGTTTGGCCTGCCCAAGTCATTACAAAGTGACAATGTGACACCATTTACTTCTAAGGTCACCCAAGTGATCTCTAAAGCATTGGGCATTACTTACTATCTCCATTGTGCCTGGAGGCCTCAGTCTTCAGGAAAAGTAGAAAGAGCCAACCAATTCTTTGGGCATTACTTATTATCTCCATTGTGCCTGGAGGCCTCAGTCTTCAGGAAAAGTAAAAAGAGCCAATCAATTCTTAACATCAATGGTAAAAATGATAACCCAGAAGACCTCCCTCAGATGAAAGGAGGCTTTAACCAATAGCTCTCCACCCATATTGCCCTAAGGAACAGGTTGGTCTTAATCCTTATGAGATACTATATGGGAGACATTTTGTTTATCTCAATGACCTCTTCCTAGATCCAGAGGCTCAGACTGTCCCGTCTTATACTATGTTCAGTTCAGTTCAGTCACTCAGTAGAATCCGACTCTTTGCAACCCCATGAACCACAGCATGCCAGGCCTCCCCATCCATCACCAACTCCCGGAGTCCATCCAAACCCATGTCCATCAAGTCAGTGATGCCATCCAACCATCTCACCCTCTGTCGTCCCCTTCTCCTGCACTCAATCTTTCCCAGCATTGCAGTCTTTTCAAATGAGTCAACCCTTCGCATCAGGTGGCCAAAGTATTGGAGTTTCAGCTTCAGCATCAGTCCTTCCAATGAACACCCAGGACTGATCGCCTTTAGGATTGGCTGGTTGCATCTCCTTGCAGTCCAAGGGACTCTCAAGAGTCTTCTCCAACACCACAGTTCAAAAGCATCAATTCTTTTGGCCCTCAGCTTTCTTTATAGTCCAACTCTCATATTATACATGACTACTGGAAAAACCATAGCTTTGACTAGACAGACCTTTGTTGGCAAAGTAATATCTCTGCTTTTTAATATGCTGTCTAGCTTGGTCATAACTTTCCTTCCAAGGAGTAAGTGTCTTTTAATTTCATGGCTGCAGTCACCATCTGCAGTGATTTTGGAGCCCAGAAAAATAAAGTCAGCCACTGTTTCCACTGTTTCCCCATCTATTTGCCATTAAGTTATGGGACCGGATGCCATGATCTTAGTTTTCTGAATGTTGAGCTTTAAGCCAGTTTTTTCACTCTCCTCTTTCACTTTCATCAAGAGGCTCTTTAGTTCGTCTTCACTTTCTGCCATAAGGGTGGTGTCATCTGCATATCTGAGGTTATTGATCTTTCTCCCGGCAATCTTAATTCCAGCTTGTGCTACTTCCAGCCCAGCGTTTCTCATTATGTACTCTGCATGTAAGTTAAATCAGCAGGGTGACAATATACAGCCTTGACGTACTCCTCTGCCTATTTGGAGCCAGTCTGTTGATCCATGTCCAGTTCTAACTGTTGCTTCATGACCTGCATACAGGTTTCTCATAGAGGCAGGTAGTCTGTTATTCCCATCTCTTTCAGAATTTTCCACAGTTTATTGTGATCCACACAGTCAAAGGCTTTGGCATGGTCAATAAAGCAAAAATAGATGTTTTTCTGGAACTCTCTTGCTTTTTCAATGATCCAGCGGATGTTGGCAATTTGATGTCTGGTTCCTCAGCCTTTTCTACAAACAGCTTGAACATCTGGGAGTTCACGGTTCATGTATTGCTTATACCATGGCCATTGGGCAGTTCCAACAACATATATGTTTGTGGGGCATCAACCCGGATCCAAAAGATTATAAAGAGCCACCACTATATGCTCCAGGAACTCACGTCCTAATTAAAGTCTGGAAAGATGGGTCCCCAAAGGCTCAACTCCAGCCCACATGGAAGGGCCCATACCCTGTAATACTTTCTACCCCCACAGCAGTCAAGGCGCCAGGACACGACTCCTGGATTCACTACTCACGAGTCAAGCTGTGGAAGAAAACAGAAGAGGACACTCAGTACACCTGTGAGCCCCTGGAGATCTCAGATACCCATTCAGAACTACAAATGAGTGTCATTCATATAAACACCACCAAAATTAAGTTTCTGTGGATAAGATTTCTCAGGATAGCTCTGAAGAGCCAACACAGGTTTGTAGGGGTTATACTCCAAAAAAGGCAGGAGGTAGATCTCCTGATCCCTGAACAAGGAGGAGCCTGAGCAATCTTGGATGAGATGTGTTGCTTCTGGGTAAATACCTCCAGCTAAGATTTTAAAAGTCTCACGAAAAACATTCAGATCCTATGGGATGGCAAAGAATGAGCTGGAGAGTCCTCAGGGTGACTACAATCTCCCTTTGGGGGAATCCTTCTCCTGGCGAGAGGGAATTTAGAGTTGGCTAATAGCAACCCACTCCAGTACTCTTGCCTGGAAAATTCCAAGGGCTGAGGAGCCTGGTAGGCTGCAATCTATGGGCTCTCAAAGAGTCGGACACGACTGAGCGACTTCACTTTCACTTTTCACTTTCATGCATTGGAGAAGGAAATGGCAAGCCACTCCAGTGTTCTTGTCTGGAGAATCCCAGGGATGGGGGAGCCTGGTGGGCTGCCGTCTATGGGTTCACACAGAGTCGGACACGACTGAAGTGACTTAGCAGCAGCAGCAATGCCCCTAACTCAGCTTCCCTTGTAGCTCAGCTGGTAAAGAATTCGCCTGCAATGCGGGAGACCTGGGGTCGATCCCTGGGTTGGGAAGATCCCCTGGAGAAGGGAAGGGCTACCCACTCCAGTATTCTGGCCTGGAGAATTCCATGGACTCTACTGTCCATGGGGTTGCAAAGAGTTGGACACGACTGAGCAACTTGCATTCATCAATGCCCCTACTAATCCCTGTTATCCTCATATTGATGCTGCTTATGATTGCTCCTTGTATTATCAATTGTCTAACCCATTTCATCTCTGCCGAAGTCAACAAGCTACAACATGTAGTACCAGTTCAACAAGGATATTTAAAACTACACCCAACCCTGGAAAGTATCACTCATCCTTGAATGGACATTGCTATAAGGACTCTGAGGCTTGAGACGAGCAAGAGGGGGAGGCCCAATGCCCCTCACCATCCCAGTTCAGCAGGAAGTAGACAGACCTTGATGCCCCTATTCCCAAAGAATTGAGCCTCCCATATCTTGAGGGGGAAATGTTAGGTAGTTACAATAGGAAAAAGGAGTCCAAAATGGTGGCGGCTGAAGGACAAAGAAAGGAAAAGCCCACAAAAATGGAACAGAAGAAAATCCAAGGACTGGAGTGGGAACCTCAGGTGAAACACACAGCCCTCCTGGCTAGCCAGTTTACATACGGCAGGCTCAGGGGAGGAGAAAAAAAAAAAAAAGGAGCCAAAATTGAGTTTGTCTTTTGGGTTGGCCCACCCTCACCCCTCGAGCATGTATTTTCCTTGCTTGCTAAATAAAACTGAGCTATAACACTGGTCTGCCAAATAAAACTGAGCTGGTCCATGGTTTCAAATTTTTGCTGTGCTGAGACAGAACTGAGGAAATTACACACTCCCCTGACAACTGTTACACAATTTTGTCCTCTTGACGAATATTCAAAGAGTACCACCTCATTTCCTACTGCCAGTTCCAACTGTTCTGAAATGTAACCCCTATGACTTTATTGATTCAAATTCATGTAAATAACTATGCTTATTGTCTTTTCACGTAACTCAAGCTTCAGTTTGTTCCTATTTTTCTTTGTTATTTTCAGTGTGGAAATTGTTCCCTTTCAAAAAGAAAAGACATAAAATAGAAACAAAGCAATTTAGCTGCATATGGCATACATTAATATTATTCCTTCTGCTCAAGAAACTCCCATTGTTTTTTTTTTTTCCTTTTTTTAAAAATTCTGAACATAATTGAAAACCTATTTTACTTTTGTATTAATTTATGGAGTATTTTGAATTACAGTTACCAGCTAGGTGATAAGATTATTATTACAATACTTTTTAAGTTAATTTATTTGAATCAATATAAATATATGTTATTATGTTATTCAAGTAGCTTTTTAAGAAATGTGCACATTCCTTATGTAAAATTAAAGTGCTCTAAGCTCTACCAGTAAACAAGCCTTTTCCAAATGCAGATTTCTGAGCCCAGGTGAAATAAAGCCAGCTGTTTGGAAGCCATCAGCTACTTCCTCTCTGGTAAGTGCTGAGGAGCTGGGGGGATGTGTGAGGCTGCCATCAGACACATTTGCCATCTCTTATGGTAAACAAGGAACAAGTATGTGAACAACAAAGAAAGCAGGATTGGCCCCAGATAGCTGGATACATATGAAAGAGATTACTTCAGCAAGCCCGGATGCTTGCATCTTCTCATACATTGAAGATTGCTAAATCTCTTCATGTGAGAGATTTAATTTTTCTTAATTAAGTGTAATCTTTTAATATTCAGATTTCCTGCTCCTTGCTTCAAACTTGTATATAGCCTGGCTCCTCCGCTGCCTCCTTGGAGGTAGCTCTCTTGGGGTCACCTGAGATACTGTCTCTTGGGCTCAAGTCCTAACATTCCCACTGGATAAAATCTAACTCTCAACTTTCAGGTTGCGCTTATTATTTTTTTTTTTTTTTCAGTCAGCACTTAGTACCAGGAGACATGACAATCAGAATGTGGAGATTTTTATTTGTCACTATAGGTTACCTTCCTTATTTTAGGGAAGCTGAGCATCAGATCCTTTCACATACCATATATATTTATGTGCAGTAAAAATGTATTATACATTCAAAGTATCTATATAACAGAAGATTTTTGGATGGTTCTATATATAACTTCAGTCACTTAACCACAAAACAGTATTTCTCTAGGAGAAACTTCTTGAAAAGCATTCGTGAAAGCATAGAAGAGAATTATAGTAGCTTTTATGGTGTCCACCCATCTAAACCACCTTCCCTTCCTCTCCTTTTTACTAAGAACGTTGCTGTTGTGAAAGATCAGAATAGATCTTTGTTGCTCTAAAGAAATTTTCAGAGATGTTCTTACTTCAAGGACCTGCCCCCTCATTAATTTCCCAGGGGAGTAACTGTCAGGACTGGTCATTTGGCATTTAATACTTAGTCTTAAGATATATTCTTATAGGTTTTTGTATCTTTTCTAGTGAATTATTCATAATTTTCTTGAAATCTAAGGCCATGCCCTGTGTATTTTCACATCCTAAACAATAGTAATGAACCAATATAAAAAGACACTTTGAACATATTATTTTGAGAAAGAATCATATGCCTCCCTATGCAGAGAGTGAGAGAGATATGTTAGATAGCATAAAGATAGGTTAATTTTATTCCAAAACCGTAAGAGATTGAGTAAACCAAACTCTGCTCTCATTTCCCCAAGGAAGAAAATTGAATATTGAAATATTGAAAATTGAAATTGAATACTGGGAAAAACAGCGCAGGTAAATTGATGTTTGAGTTTCAGTTTATAAACTGGGATAAAATTTTATATAAGCAATTCACTGCCCCCCAGTGGTGAACTTTCACTTCAGATGAAATAATAAGATAGTCAAAAGGCTCCAGACATCAGGGCTCTTGGTTCAGGCAGTTTTATGCACGCGTGCCTGCTAAGTTGCTTCAGTTGTGTCCAACTCTTTTCTACCCTATGGACCGTAGCCTGCCAGGATCCTCTGTCCATGGGGTTATCCAGGCAAGAATACTGGAGTGTGTTGAGATGCCCTAACTTCATTAGAAAAATATGAGAAAAAGAGAAGCTAAATGCTTAGGTCACAGGAATTTTTTGAACCAAATGAGGGTAAATAACCAGCCCAAATCACAAACAAATTGTAAAGAGAAAGTAAAACCAAAAATATTTATGACTTTTGTGGGATAATTAGAAACTTGAATTTTGCCTAGGTATTAGTATCAATGAATTGATGTTCTTTTTCTAGATTTCATAGCGGTGCTATGTTTATGCTTTTTTTTTTTTAAGTGTTTTCTCTTTTAGTGGAAACTTTCTGAAATAATTACTGATAAGTTGATTGTTTTGTTGTTGTTGTATAGTCGCTAAGTAGTATCCAACTCTTTGCTGACTCCATGGCCCGATAGCCAGGCTCCTCCATCCAAGGGACTTCCCAGTCAAGAATACTGGAGTGGGTTGCTGTTTCCTTCTCCAGGAGATCTTCCTGACCCAGGGGTCAAACCCATGTCTCCTGAATTGACAGGAGAATTCTTTACCACTGAGCCACCAAGGAAGCTTGATAAGTTGATACGATGCATCAAAATAATAATAAGAGAAGGAGATAAGTTGGAGGATGTTTAAAGCAATTTGGGCTATAAGTTGATCAATTTTTTAGCCAGGTGATGGTAACATGAAGATTCATTATGCAATTCTGTCTATTTTGGTACACATTTGAAATTTTCTATGAGGTTTTTTTTTTTTTTTAATCTCACCAAGAGATCACTGAGTGTAGAATTTGACCACTGAAAACAGAAAGCTTTCTCCATAATTTATTTTGCAGAAATCATTAGGTTAAGCTGTAAATTATGGAAGAACAACTTGTAATCCTCACTTGCCTTATAAAATGAACATTGAGGAAATTAACTCAAGCATTCTTAAACCCAAGGTAATAAAAGAGTTGAACCTGCTTTTCAAATTGTGCTTATATTAAATGTTAAACTCATGTTGACTTACAAAAACGATTACTAAACAAATACAAAAAGTGAATTGTCGAGACATTATTTAGTAAAGCTGCTCTAGAGTGGGATTATTTTCTCTCTTGATGTTTATTAAGTTTTGAATTTTGTAATATATTGATTTTCTAACATTTCCAAAAAGAGCTCAGGAGTTATTGCCTTGTTGCTAGGTTTTAGGGAACATGAAAGGTCCTACTTTCACTTTTTTTCCTAATCTGACTTGAGTCCTTTAGAAAATTAATTCAGTTTCTTAGCAACCCAGGTGGGCAAAACTTAAATACACTTTGAGATCTTTTGTAAACAAAGGTTAAATGTTTCCTTATAAACTATCTGTTTGCTTATTCTCATCTGGCTTTGCAGAAAAGATCTTCTGAGACATACTACCAAAAACAATTTTATTAAAACTCGCAATTTTAAATGGTGAGTGAAGTTACTGATTTTCTAATGAATGCTCCTTTTTTGTGTTTATTTTGAATTATTCCAGTTTGTCAGTTTATCTAGATCTTTGGAATTTGTGTACTTTATGTTAAAATATATGACAACTCATTTATGAGAGAAACGATCTCTTTATATATAATATTATAAATGGGAAATCATGAGATATGTTAAGAAGGAGAAAGCTGGAAGTGCTGAATTTCTTTATAAATCTACAAATGTAAATGAATTCCTAGTCTAAGGATTTCACTGTGATCTTAATAGCAGACTATTTTACAATGCTCTTTGCTTGTTGACAGCATTTAGGTATCAGGTACATATCTGTATCAGTTTATCTCTCTGTCTATCTAGCTTCCCAAATACTTAAGTTTACAAAATTAAACTCATATTTGTGAGTAAAATAAGCTTAAATTTGCATATATTTGCTAACCTTAGGAATGCATTTATTTTAAAATCTGATTATTAAAGCAGATAACAAAAATATTTTGTGACATTCTAGTAGAAAGTATTCAGAGAAGGCAATGGCAAGCCACTCCAGAACTCTTGCCTTGAAAATCCCACGGACAGAGGAGCCTGGTAGGCTGCAGTCCATAGGGTCGCACAGAGTCGGACACGACTGAGCGACTTCACTTTCACTTTTCACTTTCATGCATTGGAGAAGGAAATGGCAACCCACTCCAGTGTTCTTGCCTGGAGAATCCCAGGGATGGTGAAGCCTGGTGGGCTGTCATCCATGGGGTCACATAGAGTTGGACACGACTGAAGTGATTTAGCAGAAGCAGTAGAAAATATTGAGGAAGATATTTAAAGTTTATTTTTTATATTGCCACTATTAGAAGCTTTCATTATTTAGAAAAAATGTAATTAGATATTTGAGCTTTTAGATACAGTTTCAAAAAAAAAATCTGTAATTTCTAGAATTTGACACATAAAATTCTTATTCCTCTTATCATGGAACCATTTAAAGTTTGCATTTTTGTAAGGTTGAAAAATCATTGAATAAAAGAAATTTCACATGACTCAACCTAAAATATGCAGAACCCTACATAGTGTTTGTAAAAATAGGTATATTTGTCTCAATGTTACAATCTGATTTCGGTCAGATCTTGCAATTAACAAACTTTAATACAAGGAACAAGGCAAAATGTAAATTCGAGTTCCACTGCTGTATTCATAAGGAAATATGAGCCCTGATAGATCTGGGAAAGCTTTTACTGGAGTGGCATTTAAACTAATCCCTAAGACCAGTGTAATTTCATAGATGGAGAATAACTGGGCTTGTTGAATGCAGATTAAACTATTCTATTATTTCCAGTGAGACATCTTTGGCAAAGTACAGCTTCTGTATATCAACATTTATCACTAAATCTTTGACTAAATGAGATTACTAGTTTACTTTCTCTTACTTTCTCAACCTCACATCTTATGACCATATTTCTCTATGCCTTAGCTTTTTCCGCACAACGTGAGGAGCATAATGTGATATTGCCATCACAAGCTTCAGTCATTCAACTAGATCTCCAGTTGATTTCTTTCTGCTGGGGTATCCTGGGACTACAATTGAGGGAGGAGGCAGATGGGCCACCCCCACCCCAAGGGTAAAGCAATTGAAGATTCATTCCCTATGGACTGAAACTTCAAGACAAGAATAGCAGGACAGTTGAGGGATGAGCCTGGGCCTTAGAGATGCATGCCCACACGTGGGAGGATCCTGATCTATACCAAATATGGACAGTGAACCAGACAAATCAAAATGACTGGCCAAAGGAAACCCGGAAGAAATGTCCCATAAAAGTAATTCAAACTGCCATGAGGGTGTGACTCAGCCCCTCTCTCTCCCTGAGTCTGCCCTTTGTCTTTCCACGCATTGTTTATATTGTTCAGTTGATAATTTGTGTCCGTCTCTGTGACCCCATGGACTGCAGCACGCCAGGCTTCCCTGTCCTTCACTATCTCCCAGAGTTTGCTCAAACTCATGTCCATTGAGTCGGTGATGCCATCCAATCATCTCACCCTCTGTCATCCCCTTCTCTTCCTGTCCTAAATTTTTCCCAGCCTGAGGATCTTTTCCAATGAGTCGGTTC